AAAAAAAAAAAAAAAAAAAAGAATTGAAGATAATCATTCAACCAATTTTGGCCTAATGAGATATAACCAGAAGAATTATGCATGACTTCCAGGATGTCACTACATATGAGAGATGGCTACTGCCTGGAATATGGGTATGCTGGGTGAAGGTCTAGGAGCAGTTTTGGAAAATGAATATGAAGGTCACAACTCAGACATGGCAGAGCAGAGAGCTACAGCGTTGCCCGACCTACCTCCAAAGTTTTTCTACTTCATGGGGGCTGGGGATTTAGCTCAGCGGCAAAGCGCCTGCCTGGCAAGCGCAAGGTCGTGGGTTCGGTTCCCGGTACCGGAGAAAAAAACCAAAAAAACCAAAAAACCAAAAAAACCAAAGTTTTTCTACTTCAGTATTTTTCTGTCTTGTTTACACCAAAGTTAATCTGGGATTTTCGTATACATAGTAATTGAAAACTGACCTTTGAGTTATTCTGAAAGGACTTTATCAGGAAAGAGAGCTTCCTCTGGAGCTCCTGTAAGTCCTTTGAGACACTTGGAGGCTCTTCTTTAGCCATCTTGAAACTCAGTTCAATCTCTTTGGGGGTTGATTCCCCTACCAGCAAGCTCCCTGGTGCAGTAGGGAGTCCAGTCTCTCATGTTGCCCAGTCTCTTGCTGTCACTGGAAGAAACAAAAAATTTCTTAAGTCACTAGTAGTCTGTATCCACCTTGTTCAATTACAGCTCTGACTATCCCAGCCCACTGATGGTAGGTATGCAGATGGAGGACACTTTGGCAATATTTATCAAAGTTTCAAATTACACACACTTCAGTCCAGCAACTTAGTTTATAGGAACCTGACGGAAAAAAAATCTAATAAATAAAAATGTGCCCAAAATATGTGCCTCACATCTTTGTTGATAATAGTTAACAATTAGCAAAACACTGGCAAGAAACTAACTGCTCATTAGTGGGAAATTGGTTAAGCAGTGATAAATGCACAGTCATTAAATGCCCTGAAAAGATTTCATAATTTTTTAAAAGATTACAAAATCTCCATTTTGTTACATACACACATATGTATGTATACACTGCATAGTACACGAGTAGGACACACAACAAAATGTTGGCAACATTATCTCCAAAAGCCTCTATTTATTTAGTCTTACAAAATGCTGAAAATAATACACAGAAAGCAAGTACGCTGAAACACTATTTGAAATTCCACTTCATTTTGTCTCCCTCTTTTATACCACAGTGACCTTCGCTGATTTCCTTTCTTTCATCACTTGGCCACAAATCATTTCCCCCTCGACAGCCTGCCTCAGGGACAGACCTAACCATGTTCTGTAACCCAACAGCCTGGAATTTCTAGTACTGCCCCAATCTCACATAATTTTAATTTTAATAAAAGCAATTTGTTAGATCCTTTTTTGGTTTTAAATTTTATTAATACGTGTTTGCAGTACATAATGATTTCCTTCATCTTAAGGTACATGTAGCTAACATATCCTAATTCTTTTCACCTTCCGTCCCCTCTCCTGTCAAGGTGAGTTTTTAACTGTGAGTTTTCAACTTAGAAAAATACCATTTTCACTTTACATTTCCCAGAACAACTGTCTGGTGGAACACTTAGATCTCTTTTCCATTTCTGCCTTACAACTAACCTGCCTACAGTACAAATGCCTACCAGACTCTGTCACCCTGGCCAAAATGAACTACAAGGGCCTCACATTTATTGACCATACTGGATATCCCTCATGCTAATTATGCGACTTACTACCTACTACCACCCACAGGATTTGGTATACACACTGGAAATATATTTTAATAGCCTCGGCCAGAGATTCTCCCCCTTTGGACAGAGCAGGGTTAATCCCTCCATCCCATATTCTGTCTTCAAAGCTACAACTGGCGTGGGTCTTGACCTCGCGATATCTCCGGCCCTCAGGTCTCCTAATCTCAACTCCACAGCGGGCAGGCGACAACTCGGTAACCCTCGCAGGTCTGCTTCGGCCTGGGAACCCCGAGCGCTCCCCAGACCGGTTCGAGGAGCCCGGCAGGGGAAGCGCAGAAGGCCCGGAGCCGCAGCCACCGAGCGCATCCGTCAGCACACCGCCTCCACAGCCCGCCGGCACCTGGCGCTCGGCGGGCACAAGCAGCCGGCGCAGGCAGCCAGCCCGGCCTCCCGCGC